GATTCTTTCTCTTCCCTCAGAAGGTTGAGCCCCTTCAGCCTTTGCTAATGAAAGACCCAGGGATCTGATAACCTGCCCTTCATGGAATCTTTACAGATGTAATATGCTTTGAGCAGAGGGATAATGAATGCCTACAAAAAATAAAGCTACTTCAGACCATTGAAGTATCCAGACGTGCATATTCCAGACAAGGGAAATGGACTTCCTGTGTAAAATCTTTACTTTCATTGTATATTGTCTCTGTTTTTAGTTTCTCTGTAGTTTTTATGACATAGAAACCTGATCCACCTCAGGAGCTCCTGCCTCTTTCTCTTGCTTCTAACAGCATTATGTGTCTGTTACCTTATCACACAATAGCAAAGTTGATGATGTCTCAAATAGGAATGGTGATAGCTGTTTCAAGGCAGTATAGCATATAAAGTGCCTGTTGTTGTTAGGTGCCATCGAGTCAGTTCCGACTCGTAGCGACCCTGTGAACAACAGAACTTAACGCTGCCCGGTCCTGCGCCATCCTCACAGTCATTATGCTTGAGCCCATTTTTGCAGCCACTATGTCAGTCCATCTCATTGAGGGTCTTCCCCTTTTTCGCTGACCCTCTGTTTTACCAAGCATGATGTCCTTCTCTAGGGATTCATCTCTCCTGACAACATGTCCAAAGTATGTAAGACATAGTCTCGCCATCCTTGCTTCTAGGGAGCATTCTGGTTGTACTTTTTCCAAGACAGACCTGTTCATTCTTTTGGCAGTCCATGGTATATCCAATATTCTTCACCAGCACCACAGTTCAAAGGCATTGATTCTTCTTCAGTCTTCCTTATTAATTGTCCAGCTTTCGCATGCATATGAGGCGATTGAAATCACCATGGCTTGGGTCAGGCGCACCTTAGTCCTCAAGGTGACATCTTTGCTTTTCAACACTTTAAAGAGATCTTCTGCAGCAGATTTGCCCAGTGCAGTGCGTCTTTTGATTTCTTGACTTCTGCTTCCATGAGTGTTGACTGTGGATCCAAGTAAAATGAAATCCTTGACAACTTCAGTCTTTTCTCCATGTATCATCATGTTGCTTATTGGTCCAGTTGTGAGGAGTTTTGTTTTCTTTATGTTGAGGTGTAATCCATACTGAAGGTTGTAGTCTTCGATCTTCATCAGTAAGTGCTTCAAGTCCTCTTTGCTTTCAGCAAGCAGGATTGTGTCATCTGCATAACAGAGGTTGTTAATGAGTCTTCCTGCAATCCTGTTGCCCTGTTCTTCTTCATATAGTCCAACTTCTTGGATTATTTGCTCAGCATACAGATTGAATAGGTATGGCGAAAGGATACAACCCTGATGCATACCTTTCCTGACTTTAAACCACGAAGTATCCCCTTGTTCTGTCCGAACAACTGCCTCTTGATCTATGTACACATTCCTCACGAACACAATTACGTATTCTGAAATTCCCATTCATTACAATGTTATCCATAATTTGTTATGGTCCACACAGTTGAATGCCTTAGCATAGTCAGTAAAACACATAAACATCTTTCTGGCATTCTCTGCATTCAGTCAGGATCTGTCTGACATCAGCAATAGTATCCCTGGTTCCAGGTCCTCTTCTGAATCCAGCCTGAATTTCTGACAGTTCCCTGTCTATATACTGCTGCAGCCACTTTTGAATGATCTTCAGCAAAATTTTATTTGCGTGTGATATTAATGGTACTGTTTGATAATTTCCACATTTGGTTGGATCACCTTTCTTGGAAATAGGCATAAATATGGATCTCTTCTAGTCAGTTGGCCAGGTAGCTGTCTTGCAAATTTCTTGGCATAGACGAGTGAGCACTTCAGTGCTGCATCTGTTTGTTGAAACATCTCAATTGATATTCTGTAAATTCCTGGAGACTTGTTTTTTGCCAGTGCTTTCAGTGCAGCTTGGATTTCCTCCTTCGGTACCATTGGTTCCTGATCATATCCTGCCTCTTGAAATGGCTGGACGTCGACCAATTCTTTTTGATCTAATGACTCTGTGTATTCCTTACATCTTCTTTTGATGCCTCCAGCATTGTTTAATATTTTAATAAAATGCCTAGCACGGTCCGGTATCTAATATGAACTCAGTAAAATGATAACCCCTATTATGGATTTCCTTTGCATATAATTGATATACAATAACCAAAAAGAACCCAAACCCATTGCCACTGAGTCGATTCCTACTCATAGTGACTCTGTAGGACAGAGTAGAACCACCCCATAGGATTTCCAAGGAGCAGCTGGTGAATTTGAACTACCAACCTTTTTTGGTTAGCAGTCAAGCCCTTAACCACTGCGCCAGCAGGCCCCCCCCCCATCCATGGGTGATACGTTCCAAGACCCCCAATGGATGCCTGAAACCGCAGATGGTATTGAATTCTATATATACCATGTTTTTGCCTATACATATTATCTTAGTCATCTAGTGCTGCTATAACAGAAGTACCACAAGTAGATGGCTTTAACAAAGAGAAGTCCGAATGCAGGGTGCCAGCTCCAGGGGAAGGCTTTCTCTCTCTCTCTCTCAGTTCTGGGGGAAGGTACTTGTCATCAGTCTTGCCCAGTTGAGGAGCTTCTCAGTGCAGGGATCCTGGGTCAAAAGGAAACTCTCTTCTCCTGGCTCTTGTTTCTTGGTGGTATGAGGTCCCCATGTCTTTCTGCCCACTTTTCTCTCTTATATCTTGAAAGAGATTGGCTTAAGACACAATGTAATCTTGTAGATCTCATCAATATAACTGCCTCTAATCCATCTCATAAACATCATAGTGATAGGATTTATAACACATAGGAAAATCACATCAGATGACAAAATGGTGGTCAATCACACAGTACTAGGGATCATGGCCTAACCAAATTGACACACATAGTTTTGGGGGACACGGTTCAATCCATGACACATATATACCTATGATAAAGTTTAATTTATAAATTAGGCATAGTAAGAGAGTAACAATAATAATAGAATAATTATAACAATATACTGTAGTAAAAGTTAAGTAAATGTAGTCGCTCTCTCTCAAAATATCTTAGTGTCCTGTACTCACCCTTCTTCTTGTGGTGATGTGAAATGATACAATGCCTACATGATGAGATCAGAACACGTCTTCTGTTCATGTCTTCCACACACAAACTTAATAATGCCTTTTCCACACCAGTTAAGCACTTATCACAAACTGTAGCACTTTGAGGTATAAGAGCAAAAGTAGCACGAATTTCTTTTTCCTTTTTCACAATTTCACAGATAGAAGATTCATTCTTACTGTAGATCTTAGCAACCACAGCATATAATTTCTTTTCTTTCCTTATTAAGTGGATAAATTTCACGTTTCCACTTCAAGGAAGCACTTTATGGCTTATCTTTGGCATATCTGAATTATCAGCATCACTACTCTTGCCTTTGGGGCCATTATTAAGTAACGTAAGGGTTACTTGAGTACAAACACCGTGACAGTCGACCTGATAACCTAGATGGCTACTCAGTGACTCACAGGTGGGTAGCATATACATCGTGGATACACTGGACAGAGGGATGATTCACATCCCAGGCAGGACAGAGTGGGACAGCAGGAGATTTCATCACATTACTCAGAATGGCGCACAAATTAAAACTTATGAATTGTTTATTTCTGGAATTTTCCATTTAATATCTTTGGACCTAACGGTGGAAAGCAAAACCAAGGATAAGGAGGAGACTACTATAATAGTTACTTAAATCTGTTAGAGGAACTCTCATCAGAATCACTATTAGATAACAGTTTATTTACTTATTCTAATATTTGTTGTTGAAAACCACAAAGCATAATATTCATGATGTCCAGATTTGCTGATGCAGTTTATTCTTTCGTTTTTGTTTCTCCTTTAAACATTATAGTGCTATTTTGAAACCACAGTTCTTGGTAAAATTTAAGTAATTATAGGGTTAATTTTTTTTATCCAGAAGAATTTCCATATTTCTTCTACTTACTTGAATTCTTTAGATCATTTTAAATTAATAGTGTAGGAGCCATAGAGATTATCTAATCCTAGATGACAAATAACTTTCATTTTGTCAGGCAGTTAAGTTTGATGCAGTGTGTACCTAGAGTGCTCTACTGGGAAGCAAAGGACAGTAGCAAAGAGTTCTGGTATCAGTTAAGTTCTGGTGTGTTACTGCTGTGGGAAGAGATACAATATGAGACCAAAACCCTTGGAGATGAAAAAACTGATAACCAGAGAAATGGAAAGAACTTGCTTCTAGTCTGTCAACTAGTTTAATGATTAACTTTCTACATAGCCAGCCTTCTTTTGATCAAATACATGTTTTACTGCATGTTGCCATCACTGTGGTTGCTTCTTTCTGTTTTTGGGGCTTCGTTGTTTGTTTTGTTTTTTAATAAATACTTAGTACAACAAACAAGTATGATAGTGCTTAGCAAAATATTTTCTTCCACTATAGTAAGTCAAGGTTTAGAATTACGTTTTTTTCAAGTAGTCATAGTATTTCTTACCATGTTTAAAAGGTGAAGGTAATACATTCTAGAGTTAAGAAAATTGGTTTCAAGTGATAGGGTTCATAAAGGCTCATGGGGTACTGTCTTCTAACTAACAGGCTAGTAAAGAAGAAAATCAGTCAAGATGAATAGAGAATGAATGAATGTGGAGTAGTTACTGGGGAGGAGGGATGAAAAGGAAGATTTCAGGCCAGAAAAAAATAGTGTTTCTGAAATATTAGATTTTTTTGTTGATGTTTAATATAAGAATGGCTGATAACAAAATTTCTCCAATTATAAAATTCATTTGTTCATTCACTAGCATTTATTGTTTCTGTAACTATTTGTTGAGTATTGGGCTAAGGTGAATTTTTAGAATACAGGGCTTGCCAGAGGGGCTAGTAAGTGGATGACTCATAATCTTTCTTTCCTCCCTTTTCTCTGTACAGATTGTAGAACAATTAAAAATGTGTAGCTCAGTGTGCATATTGATTTTAATTTCTTTATTATTTACTTCATAGGTACTTCACATGACTGGAGGTTACGGTGTGGTGCTGTGGACTTGTACTTCACACTTTTTGGCCTCAGTAGACCTTCCTGCTTACCTTTGCCAGAGCTTGGGTTGGTTCTTAATTTAAAGGAGAAAAAAGCTGTGTTGAATCCTACCATAATTCCAGAGGCAGTAGCAGGCAACCAGGAAGTTGCGAGTAATCCAAGCAGTCACCCACAGCTAGTTGGATTTCAGAACACAGTAAGAATTACATCTATTACAGAAGACGTTGTTTTATTGTATACAGCCATCTAGAGAAATGAATTTCTTCCTTTGAACTGGTAAATTTTATAGCCACTAACAGTTTCTTGTACCATATAAAAAAGTGGGGGCTGACATTTGTTTAGCACTTTGCAGTTTATAAAGTGCTACTGACAACTGCATAGCTGCACAAAACAAATGATGTGCTGCCAGCCCATTTACTCCTTTTGTGATGACATAATGATTTTTTTTGTACTTGAGCATAGAATTTCTGCTTTGAGTAGCAGAAAATTGAAATGAATATTTAACCTATTATATATTTAACATATTTTGCCCATGTATATTAATAGTAAGCTATCTGAACACAGGGCCTTGTCTTTTTCATTGCTACTATGGGTAGTACCTAGCAGAATTCTAAACGTATGTAAAGTGCCTGGCAAATGCTTGTTGAATTAATTAGGTAGGTAGGTAGGCAGGCAGGTAGATAGGTAGGTAGGTGGGAGGTAGGTGAGTAGGGAGGGAGGTAGGTAGATAGGTGATAGATGATAGACAGGTAGATAAAAAGTTGAATGAACTGAACTGAAGATAAATGAATAAGCTAGATGAATGAGTAATCCATTGATTTGTGAAGAGACTATATGGTACATTTTTTTGTTTATGTATATGTGTTTGCCTTCAGAAAAGCATTTATTTGTAGTTATGCATTATAAACCTGTTGCTGTCGAATTGATTCCAACTCATGGCAACCCTCCAGGACAGAGTAGGACTGCCCCATAGGGTTTCCAAGGAGCAGCTGGTGGATTTGAACTGCCAACCTTTTGGTTAGCAGCTAAGTTCTTAACCACTGTGCACCAGGGATCCTATAAATTCCAGGAATTGACAGAATACCAAATGGAATGTTTTAACAAACGGATGCAGCGCTGGAAGTACTCATTCGTCTATGCCAAGAAATTTGGAAGACAGCTACCTGGCCAACCGACTAGAAGCGATCCATATTTATGCCTGTTCCTAAGAAAGCTGATCTAATGAAATGTGGAAATTATCGAACAATATCATTAGTATCACATGCAAGTAAAATTTTGCTAAATATCATTCAAAAGTGGCTGCAGCAGTACATCAACAGGGAACTGCCAGAAATTCAAGCCGGATTCAGAAGAGGATGTGGAACCAGGGATATCATTGCTGATGTCTGGTGGATCCTGGCTGAAAGCAGAGAATACTACAAAGATGTTTACCTGTGTTTTATTGACTATGGAAAGGCATTCAGCTGTGTGGATCATAACAGGTTATGGATAACATTGCAAAGAATTGGAATTCCAGAACACTTAATTGTGCTCATGAGGAACCTTTACATAGATCAAGAGGCAGTTGTTCGAACAGAACAAGGGGATACTTCGTGGTTTAAAGTCAGGTAAGGGGTGCATCAGGACTGTGTCCTTTCACCATACCTGTTCAGTCTGTATGCTGAGCAAGTAATCTGAGAACCTGGACTATATGAAGAAGAACGGAGTATCAGAATTGCAGGAAGACTCATTAACAACCTGTGTTGTACAGATGACTCAGCCTTACTTGCTGAAAGTAAAGAGGACTTGAAGCACTTACTAGTGAAGATCAAAGACTACAGCCTTCAGAATGGATTACACCTCAACATAAAGAAGACAAAAACCCTCACAACTGGACCAATAAGCAACATCATGATAAATGGAGAACAGATTGAAGTTGTCAAGGATTTCATTTTACTTGGATCCACAATCAACGCCCATGGAAGCAGCAGTCAAGAAATCAAACAACGTATTGCATTGGGCAAATCTGCTCCAAAAGACCTCTTTAAAGTATTAAAAAATAAAGATGTTACCTGGAAAACTAAGATATGCCTGACTCAAGCAATGGTGTTTTCATTTACCTGATATGCAAGCAAAGCTGGGCAATGAATAAGGAAGACTGAAGAAGAATTGATTGATGCCTTTGAATTATGGTATTGGGGAAGAATGGTGAATATACCATGGACTGCCAAAAGAAGGAATGAATCTGTCTTGGAAGAAGTACAGCCAGAATGCTCCTTAGAAGCAAGGATGGGGGGACTGCGTCTCACGTACTTTGGATATGTTATCAGGAGGCATCAGTCCCTGGAGAAGGACATCATGCTTGGTAAAATAGAGGGTCAGCGAAAAAGCGGAAGACCCTCAATGAGATGGATTGACACAGCAGCTGCAACAATGGGCTCAAGTTTAACAACGATTGTGAGGATGGTGCAGGACTGGGCAGTATTTTGTTCTGTTGTACACAGGGTTGCTATGTGTCGAAACCGACTCGATGGCACCCAGCAACAACAACGATGCATTATAAAACCACCAAACCTTTGTAGAAAAACTTTTAGGATACATAGAATTAATTACATTCTTTAATTTTAAATTTTTCGAGAGATGATATCTTATTGATGACAAAATGTCCTAAGACTGTGAGCTTCATTTTTCACCAATATTTAGACCAGATTACTTGCCTGGCAGTTCCCTACTGGTGTTTTCACACTTTAAGACTCAGATTCTCTCTATGCTAGTTCAGCATTTGAAATTTTCTTACTCAAATTTTATGAAGTAAAATCGTACTTATTTGTTGTAACTTTTAAATATATTCTAGAGTTTTGGGTTATGAAGAAGTAAGACAAATCCTTCCATAGAAAAAAAGAGTCTCATTATAGATCTCTTTCAGATCTGAATATTTATAAACCTGTGAAAGTAAATATGTTTCTAATTCTTGCTCATACTTGTTAATCTAGAATGAACTAGTTTTTTTATCTGTTATCCACATTCACACTTGTAGTTCTCAGTTTAAGAGGAGAAAGTAACACCAAAAGACATGTTCTTTTGGGAAAGCTCAAAAACTTAAATATATTCTTCTTTTTGAAGCTCCCCTTGCTCCCTTCCAAAAAACCAGCAGATAGGAAAAGGTTAAACTTATTTTAAGCCCGTTGCTGATAACTTTTAGGCACTGGGCTTGCCCTGATCTGCATGGTTGCTTTAGCTATTAGTTTTCAGCTGTAATATGAGCTACTTGTCTTCAGAAATCTAATTTTGATCTTGAATATTGCTACAGGAAGATGATCACCTTGCCAAGGAAGCATCATGTAATATATCAGCTCATCAGCAGGGAGTGAAGAGGAAGGCTGATACACCACTGGGGTCCCCACTAGAACCTGGTCAAATACTGGAGAAGAATGAGGATAGCAGTAAAGTCAAACTCAAAATCAGAGTAAGAAATACAGGTTAAACCTGTATTAACAGTGTAGGATATTCACCTTCTTGTAAATCTTTTTGAATACTTGTAATGGTTTTTCCTTAGCAGAAACACATGGGACAGACTGAATCATAAAATATCCCAAATGTCCATCTAAGACATTCCAACTGATTGTTTAAATTCTATTATCACATACTTCTTCTCTCTGTTTGGGGGAGAATCTATGTGTGCACATTCCACCACAGCTCATTCCTTCTTCCCACGACATAGGAATAGATTTTAGTTGTTACTGCATTTCCAGTAATTTCCAATCAGCTTCTTTTGGGGGCTGGACCACATAATTTTTTCTTTCTCTTAACTCTTTCTGAGAAAAAGAGACTACTTTTCCTTTTAAGATTATTTGGGGGCATATCCTAATGGCTTTTCTGCTACCTTTCTTAAGAATTAAGATGGAGACAAGAAGTCGTATAATGGCTCTTTCCCCCCTTTTTTTTGTGTGTCTGTTTTAGTTCTCAAATTCTCAAGATGAGGAGGAAATTGATATGGATACTGTTCATGATAGCCAGGCTTTCATTTCTCATCATTTGAACATGCTGGAAAGGCCATCAACTCCAGGTAAGATTATTGTACTGCAGCTCACTGGGGTGACGGAGAAGGCCCAAATGGTAGCACTTATTGTATGGCACGTTGCTTTATTTTCAAATGAACAACCATAAAGTTTAAAAGTAACCAGTATAAAGTATGAGATTATATCGTATTATAATACATACAGGCAAAAGAATAAGAAAAAAAAATTTTTTTAATCCTTTTTTAATATTTGGCACACTTCTGTATTTTTTTTCCTTTCATGAAATCCGTTCATCAGATTCCTTCCAGTAGCTTTAATTTCTTTTTTTTAAACTGTTAACTTCAAAATAAAATACTAAATCTGGCTTTTTAAAAATGATGTAACGATAATTACATTAAAATTTAAAAAAAAAAAATTTTTTTTATTGTACTTTAGGTGAAGGTTTACAGAACAAATAGTTTCTCATTAAACAGTCAGTACACATATTGTTTTTTGACATTGGTTAACAACCCCA